CAAATGGCTGGCTCACTGCTGCCAACTAGTGGTCAGAGGCTGAACTACAACATAAAAATGAACGGCTGGCAGGAAAGTTGACATTTTAAAACTTAGTTAAAAATTGATGCAGGGCTTTAGAATATCGATACAGTATCGGGAAATGAAATATCGCGATATTTCAGTGTATCGATATTTTCTTACACCCCTAGTGTTCAAAAGCATTTTCATTGGAGCAGGAAACAAATTACAGAGCAGCCGCTGGGTGAACGTTTGACCCCGGACAACTCGGTGGCGTTGAGCTCTGAGCAGATGTGAAGCCTGAGGGAGTCAACAGGTGTCACATTTTTCCAGGTATTCAGTTTTCTCTCGCAGTCTGAGCCTCTCAGTTTTCCACTTGGTTGCTTTGTCAGAGCTGCTGCCCCGAGGCGGTGAGATGAGTTGATCTGTGGCGGTAACAGGCTGCACGGGTCGTTCCAAGTTGCTGAGCAGAAATCTGAACTTCGTCGTTCAGGGAATGTTTTTTTTTAAAAATGCGGGAAATTAGTTTTATGAACCCTGAATAATTTGTACATAAAACTTATATATTTTGTACTCAATGTAAAACAGTTAAAACAAGCACAGATTTTTATCTTCAGTCTGGTTTTAAAATATGAAAAAGCGATCAAGCCGCCGTTTTATGTCATTTGAACTTTGCAGTTTCACAATCAGAATGGACCGGGATGTTTTTTCACCGCACAGAGCAGCAGGTTTCCCATTGTGGAGGATAATATTGGTCTTTTTATTTTCTCATTTTTTATATATTCACTGCTACACTTTCTTTGTAATATTCCTCGTCCTTATCACATTTTCTCTCTGCCACGGCACGAAAACAAAAGTAAAATCAGGATTTCAGAACATTTTCTTCTGAATTACTTCCTTTTTTAAACATTTGGCTGATGCAGACTTGGCCTTTAGTAACAAAATCTCTAGTACCAGCGTGTAGGGGTGGGCAATCCTGGTCCTCGAGGGCCGCAGCCCTGCATGTTTTATTTTTTTTCCCTGCTCAAACACACCTGATTGGAATGAATGGGTGATTATCAGGCTTCTGATGTACGGAGGACCCAAACTGACATAATTAAAAATAAAAGCGGAAATATATAAATTGACTAAATAAATACTTAAAGTGCACCAATATAATTCAAAAAGGAGAATTTTATTTGAAGTAAATGTATAAATATATATATACATATACAAATATACAGACAGCTAAATAAATAAATACAATTAAAAATGTGCTATTTAAATTAAAAAAGGAGAGCTTTACCTCACGTTTTACAATTTAATTGACCTTCACATTTATTTTCTTAGTTCCAACAAATAATATGTTTTTGCAAAAAAATGTAAAATGTAAATTATGTGCTG